AAAAAAAAGGAGGGAGGGAGGAGATCACTAGGTGAAGGTTTGCTGAGCTGGTTAGTATGATAGGATCAATAGATGCATGAAAGTTATTTGGTAAAACTCAACATTCCTTCAAAGGGGGAAAAGAGGAAATATTATTTTAAAAGTTAATCTAGGGATAGAAGAACATTCCCTTTTCATGCTAAGCAGTATTGATCAAATATTCAGCTGCCTCAAATACAATGATGAAAATCCCTACCAAACTCCAGATTGGCAATACCCCTGCCACCACGGTGATGTCACCGTCTTTTGGAAGTGGTACTCAAAGTAGCAATACACAGAGAAAGCTAGAAATGTGTGGTGGTTTCTCTAGAAAACGAGAGGAAATCAACTGAAGAGAAAAACGCGTGCTAGTGCATGTGGGGAGGGCAGGACAGTAGACAGACAGAAAGACGTAACATCTCCCCCAGACACCAGCAACACACATCCCACACAGCGACTGTGAGCACTAAGTGCCCAAGACAAGGATACAGACCCCACGTGGGATCAGTGGGACCAGAGACACCTGGGGCACGTGGAGACTGAGTGGTGGGGAGAGGCCAGGTTCTCAGGCTGTCTCCTGGAACCAAGCGGATGGGCTCCAGTGTGGAGGATGAGGACATGGGCAGGGCTGTCCACAGGCAGCCCCAGTCCTGGGAGGACACTGGCAGCCCAGCCTGGCTCCTCACAGGACCAATGCCAAGATGGTGAGGATGTGGGCCAAAGTGAGTCCCCATGGGGACAGTTCCCATGGGGACAGGCATTGAAGCAGGATACAGGAGGCTCTGGTCAGAGGGAAGGCAGGAGAAGTGCAGCCCCTGGGGTTCGGAACTGGGGTCCAGAGGGCAGGGGAGCACACACTCAGATGTGAGCAGGATGAGGTGGCCAGGCACGTCCCTCTGTCTTCCCTCAGAGTGTGAGGGAGGACCACAGTTCACCCACAGACAGCAACTGGGGTCTCGTTTATTCGGAACAAGGTCACACTGTTGGGGACCTGGGACATGGGGGCCCAGGCACATGGCCCCGCCCAGAGCTCTGGCATGGGCGCAGCGTCATATGACACTGACAAGAGGTGGGCGGATGAGGCAAGGGAGACCCGCTGGCAGGTCAGACAAGAAAGACCTGCACCGGAGGGGCCCAGAGCTGCCCGGAGCTGCCGCAAGACGACGGGACAAGGAGCTGAGCAGGGACTTCCCAGAACCATGTGGTCCGCTACCGGCTCCAGGCACAGCCACATAAAGTGTCATCACTGTCCCCACTGATGGTGACCAGGGCTGGACCAGAACCAGGAGACAGGCCAGCCTCAAGGAGGGGACCAGGGGCAAGGGGGCAAAGTCCTTGGAGACCTCCCTGGCCTCACCAGGACCAGGGTCCACACTCCCAGTCAGAGGTCCCGGGACAGGAGTGGCCAGGGCCGGGCAGGACGTGGAGGCCAGGCATGTCCCTCTGTCCACCCTCAGAGGGCGAGGGAGGACGATGACCTGCAGGGACAAGCTTAGTGAAGCCGCAGGACACAGGTCAGCACACAGCACCCGTAACAGCAATTTAGACACAGCCCCACTCACAACAGCTCCGTAAAAACCAACTGCTCAGTCAGGTCTACATGGCCTAACGTCACACAGGCGCTGGGGACCCCTGAGCTCCTCCACAGCCTGGGGCAGCTTCGCCCCAGGAGCAGGTGGCTAACGACTGGGAGTGACTTGGGAACAGAATCAAACAGGAAGAGCCGGGTAATGCCAGAGAGACGCAGACCAGCAGGGAAGGGCGGCTGCGACAGGGCGAGGTGCGGCCATGACAGAGGACCGGCGGGCACAGGCAAATACTGACGTCACTGCAGCGCGGCCGAGGTCTACGGAGGAGAACCACCTGCAGCGAGCGCCCCCCCCCGACGCCCCGAGGGCTGCTCCCTGCTGCACCGTCACACCGGGCCCCTGTGCACGGACGGGGTGCTCCCATGACGGCCGCTTGTCCGATTGTACAGCTCGGAACAGAAAGATGGCACTGACAGGGTGTTGGGATGCGGGGCCTGGCCATCCTCAAGGCTGGGGCCACTGGCCAGAGACACAAGGGCGGCGGGAGGGGCCCGCCTCGGCCCGCGACAGCGGCTGGTGAGCGCGAGCTGCGGCGGCCTGGACCACCCGCAGGTCCCCTCACGGTCGGCGGGCACCACAGCAGCGCAGGAGACCGGATTTGAAGTTTTCTCTCCCTGGAGCCTTGAGAGCGCGGTGATGGGCCACACGCCATGCCCTGCTCGGTGGAAAGGCGAAGACAGATTCGGAACCACGTTTCGGATCGGGACCAACACGCTGTCACCAGACGCGGCGGAGACTTTGCAGCCAAGACCCGGCCTCAACCACTCGCTGGAGGGCAGGCTGTTGAAAAGCCCCAGGGCATGACTGCAAGTTGCTGCCTGGACCCCAGCTCATGGTGCCGGGCGGCAGCCGAAAGCCGCCCCGCAGAGTCCGGTGCCTGATTTTCCGGAAAGGGACCACCAGGCCTTTCCTGCCAGCAGCCTCTGAGTGCACTCGAACTGGCCACCTTTCGGTTTGCAGCCAGTACAGTGACCACTGCACCACCCAGGGGCTCTGTGAGGGTCCCGCCCTACAGTTAACTGCAGTGTGTCTGTCGTGTCTGTGGCCAGCGGCTGCTCACATCCAGGACGCCGGGAGGCGCGGCTGCTGAGGGACAGAAGCGCCTCCTCCACAGAAATCAGGGTAAGTGACCCCACAGCCCCTCCTGGCAGGCGGGCAGCCACCGGGCCACTGTACGAGCCAAGCCCGAGCGAGTGCCCAGGGAGGTGGCCAGCCCTCTTGACGCCGTCCCCCTGCCCAGCTCACCAGCTTGACGGTGCAGAGGATCCGAGTGTGTATCACCTAGGAGACAGCTCTCCTCCGCCTCCTTGGTGTAGGGGACACCCTGCTGCCTGGTCCGCTCCTTGAAGACAGAGGAGTCTTTGGAATGCCCCAGGCTCCTGGACCTCATTCCTTCCTGCACTTGCTCCAGGAGTCACCCCTCAGAGTGCCCACCCTGAGTGAAGCCCTGGTCCTCTCCTGACCCTCTGGCCAGCCGGCCTCCCACCCTCCGGGAGCTGCAGCAAATACCCCACTCCTGCCTTCAGCCAGAGACGCACGGGCTCCTCCTTGCAGGGTGTCATCCCTAGATCCCCAAAACCTTCCTCAGCTGACTCCTCCTGAGTCCTCCTGAGTCCTGCAGCTGATGGAAGTCAGGGGCTTCTCCCCGGGCTCAGGCCAGGCCACCCCTCCCTGGTCCCTGACAGCTTTGTGCCGGAGTGCTGGGCCTGACAGCTGCTTCCTGGGTAATCCACGACTGCACGAACCCAGAGCACCCCAGGTCGGAGTGCTGGCGTCCTTTCCATCCTGCCCTCCTGTCACCCCCCATCCTGAGACCCCTCAAGGCACCCTCCTCCGGGTGCTAGGCAGGGGCAACAGCCTGGCTCTAGATCAGACCTCTGGGAGTGGATGGCTGACCTGTCACTCACAGGCTTGTGACCTTGGTAGATTTGCTTCCCCATGCCTCAGTTTGCCCTCCGGAAAATGGGGCCAGTAGGAGTCTGGGTCCGGCAGGATTGTTGCCGGCACTGAGTGAGCAGATGTGGGGGGAGGCACTGGGCCTCGCACACAGACAGCATCAGGGGGCTCGGCGTCTGACCCCTCTTCTGAGGAAGTCCTAAGGAGGCTGCTTTCCACCCCAGCCTCAGCTGCACCCTCCAGGGGCCCGGGCTCAGTTCTCGCCACAAGGGAAACCCCCCTGCAGGGAAGGGCAGCTGGGTGAACGCCACGGCGCCCCTTTCTGTGTTCACAAACGCCCACACCCAAGCAAGGCACATTCTAGAACGCAGGCGGGGCCTGACTCCTGGCTCAGCAGGGTGAGGACCAAGACTGCGGGGCCACCGCCCTGCGCTCTGGCCAGGGCCCCAGCAGGGAGTGTCCATCCAGGCTGGCAGGGGGCAGGCGGGGGCCGAGGGACCCCGCCCGCCTCCGCTGGCGCCCTTCCCCTGGCGCGGCTCAGGTTGAGGATGCCTGAGGGCGCCCGCCATGCCCCCCAGCGTCCCCGCCCACCGACCCCTTGAGAGGATTCCCGAGTTCGCGCCGCGCCCTGCACTCCTGCTGGGGCCACCAAGGCCACCCCCCGCCCGTCGCTGCCGCCGCCCCTGGTTCGTGTGCGATGCGTTGGGCATCGTGTGCGCCACCAGCACTTGGGGGCTGGTGCTGGGCGCCGCAGGCACCTTGCTCTCGGAGCTGCTCATCCCGTCACGGGACGTGGTCTACGCCGCGGCCAACGGTGCCCTCTTCTACCTGCTGGCCTTCCTAGGGCTTGCGGCCCACGCGCGGACCATGTTCACCGACCCCGGCTCGGTGCCTCTGGACAACACGTCCCGGGCCTGCGCTTCCCGCTGCCCACGCTGCGGCAGCGCCCGCCCCCCACGAGCGCACCACTGCACCGTGTGCGGGCGCTGCATCCGCAAGATGGACCACCACTGCCCCTGGGTCAACAACTGCGTGGGCGAGGACAACCAGAAGTACTTCGTCCTCTTCACGCTCTACCTGGCGCTCGCCTCGCTGCACGTGCTGTTGCTGCTCGCAGTGCCAGCCTGGCGCAGCTACGCCCGCGGCGAGTGGGACACCACCAGCACCGTGTCGCCCCGCGGGTCCGTCATCTTCCTCTTCCTGGTCAGTCTAAAGGGCTTCATCTTCACCTCCGTGATGTTCACGACCCAGATGCGAGCCATCTGCACCGACCAGACGAGAATTGAGGTGCTGCAGAGGGCGCGAGCCCGGTGGGAAAAAGGCAGCAGGGGCAGGAACTTGAAGGCCGTCTTCGGTCACCGCATCTCATTAGCCTGGATCAACCCCTTCGCTTCTGAGGAGCATCAGAAATTGGATGAGCACCACAACGTGGTCTGAGGGCCCCCTCCTGGGATTCCCACTCACACCACACCACAGCCACTCTCCCGTCTGCCAGACCCCTTACAGGTGTTTAGGGAAAATGCAACAGTTGCTCACTTAAACTGGAAGCCACCGTGGCGGCCATGTGCACTCAGGACTATGCTACAGAGAGCTTTCAGAGCCTCACGTGATGCTCAGAGCAGAAAGTGAGGCCTGCGGAAGCCAAATTTTGCCCAGAGAAAATTGCAGAAAATGTGGTAAAATATGTATGCTGTACCTTTTTAACTCTGCCAATGCTTTTCATGGGAGAAGGGGTCAAATCCACAAGACTTCTTAATAAAGTATCATAAATGAGTGCTGGCCTTATGACATATATATTTACGTAAGGAGCTACGGTAGCATACTGGGTGTTCTGGTTACCTGGCTGCTCTGACAAGAATACACCACACATGGGATGGCCTTAACAAACAGGAGTTCATTCTCTCACAGTTTGGGAGGCTAGAAGTCCGAGTTCAATGTGCCAGGCTCTAGGGACTGGGTGAAAGCCCCTCAACCCTGGGGCTTCACCTCTGCCTCGTGCTCCCGGCCCACTGAAGCCAGAGGCATCTCTTCACTCAGGCAGCTACTGGCTGCGGAGGCTGACAAGCCCAAGGTCGACAAATAAATTGGCACTGTCCCAATGTTACCAAATCACACGGCAGGCCATACATTCAAGTCCACTGAAAGTCCCAAGGTCGACAGAGCATGGCAGGCTGCTGAACAACCACACAGCTACGTGCAGGGTCCAAGCATGCCATAAGCTAGAGACCATTCCCAAAGCTGCTGCAGACCACATACCCAAAGGCAGCTACTCAGCTGCTCCCAGTAGATTCCACCATGGAGTTGATTACCAGTCTCATCATGGGGAATACTGCATCCAGCTGCCCAGCCACTCAACCAGGCCCAGGCAAGTTGACACACAAACTTAACCACTTCACTGGGTAAGGCATTTGGCTGCTAATCAGAACGTCAGTGGTTCAAATCCACCAGCTGCTTCACAAAAGGAAGATGGCAATCTACTCCCATAAAGATTTACAGCCTTGAGAATCCACTGGGGGTTGCTGTGAGTCGGAATCAACTCGATGGCAGTAGGTTATACATTTTTATATTGATATAATTCAATGAACAGTCTCCCGTGGGCTGTTATTGAGTGAATAATACAGATGAACTAATATCCCTGGGTGGGGGTGCAAACTGGGAATGCCTTGGCTGACAACCAATAGACTAGGGGTTCGAGACCTCCCACAGAGTCCTCTGAAGAAAGGCCTGGTAATCTACTACCACAACAGCGGCCGCAGACAACCCTAGGAAGGGCGGTTCTAGTCTGGCATGCGGTGGGGGCGGGCGTGAGATGGACTGGCATGTCAGCACCTGGTGAACAGAGGGAGTACATAGGATTTTGAACCATCCGTGCATTCCTGACAAACCCGCCTTCATCCTGATGCATCCTTCTGTAACGTCTGTTGGATTGGGGCAGCCACTATTTCATTTAGGATTTTTGCATTTGTGTTCATCGATAAATGACACCGGCCAGCACAGTGCTTCTCTTTCCTTGCCTGTGTTTTACTGCAGATCACACCAGCCATGTTAAATGAGTACAGTAGCTACAACTCTTTCTCCATTTTCTGAACATCTTCTGTCCAACACGGGCACTAGCTGTTCCTGCAAAATCTGGTGGCCTCACCAGTCAAGCCATCGGAATTTGGGATTTACTGTATTATTTTTATTTTGAGCTCTTTGTAGAGTCAGTAAGATTGCTCAGTGAAGTTGGCTCCAGAGTGGCTTCAGCTTTGCAGGCGTTCCATGTAGCGTATGTGCAGAGCTTGTCCTTACTCATTCCCTTTGCCACCTCTCCCACTGCAGGGGCAGAGCACAATCTGTTTAACCCTGTTCATTTCTGATGGAAATTTAGATTTTCCTGTTTTTCATTCTACTAAACAGTACTGTACTGGACATCTCTGTACGTGTGTATGTGTGTGTGCGCACGCACCTGCCTTTTCTGGAGTGGAAATGGGGTGAGTGGGTAGTCCCTGCAAGCAAAATTTGTAAATTTTTCCAAATTGCTCCCCAAAGGGGACACACCAACACCCACTCCCCGGTGATGAGTTTTTGCAGCTGTATCCATATGCCTGGAATCCTATGACCTTAATTTTCTGAATTTTTACTGAGCTGATGGAAGGGACATGGTGTCTCATTATAGTTCATTTGCATTTTCTCTAATTACTATTGAGATTCACAGCTTTTTGTCTCTTTATTGAATATTTGGATTTACTCTTGTATCAATTTCCTCCTCATATCTTCTCCATGGTGCTATTGGACTATTCGTCTGTTTCTTACTGATTTATAGCACTCGTTTATTCTGAATACAAATTGCCAACATCTCATAGTCTGGGTTTTGTTTTCCCCTCTTTGTTAATGGCATCTCATGATGCCATGAGTTGGTTATGTTAATGTAGTAAATTGATCACTTTTTCCCTTGGTTGTTGGTGCTGTTGGAATCTTATTTAAGAAGCTTTCCCTGTCCCAGTGTCATAAGCATATTCTGCCATATTCCAGACATTTTAAAATTTTGTTTTTTGCATTTAGGTCCATTTTCCTCCTGGAACTGATGTTATGTATGGTGAAAGGAATAAATCCACTTTCTAAATATTCTTATTTTGTTATTCTTACTTAGTTATTCTTAAAGAAGTCAAATAAAACATAACAAACAGGGGATGGGGCAGCTTTCTTGCAGTTCACCACCAAGCCCGTTTGCCTTCTCTGAAGACTTTAAATATACCCTTCTGAACACTCACGCATATACATGCTGTTGTTAGGTGCCGTCAGCTGGCTCTGACTCACAGGGACCCTACAGACAGCACCGCCCGGTCCCGCACCAGCCTCACAATCCCTGCTGTGCTTGAGCCCATCATGGCAGCCACTGTGTCAATCCATCTCCTTGAGGGTCTTCCCCTTTTCCTCGGACCCTTGATTTCACCAAGCACGACATCCCTCTCCAAGCACTGGTCCCTTCTGACAACATGACCAAAGTAGGTGAGACAAAGTCTGGCCGTTCTCACTTCTGAGGAGCATATATATACTTTTACGCATTTTCATGCATATTTAAAATTACAAAATTTTACATTGGAGTTTTTGCTGGGTGTTTTTTTCTAAAATGAGCTGACATCTAGGTATTGTTCTCAAAACCAAAAACCAAACTCACTGTCATCAAGTTGATTCCAACTCATAGCAACCCTCATTAGGTTTCCAAGGCTATGAATCTTTACAAAAGTAGATTGCCTCATTTTCCTCCCACAGAACAGCTGGTAGGTTTGAACCACTGACCTCCTGGTTAACATCCAAATGCCTTAACCCCTACCCCCAGAGCTCCTTCAGGTATTGTTCTACAACTTTTTTTTTTTTTCTCACTTAAGTCATTGGAGATCTTTCTAGATCAACATATAGTGATCTATCTAACTTTTGTTCCAAGTATCATGTTGTGTGCACAGCAGGATTATTCAGCCACATGCTGAATAAGGGACAGTGGGGTTCTGTGTTTCCCAGTAATTAATATCTTTGTCCATGATGAGGACATCAAGGGTGTATACACAATTTAAATATTGAG